TAAAACCTTCACCTCAAATGAGGAGGTCAAAAACCTCCTCGATCAGTTTTTTGCCAGCAAAGACCAAAAATTTTATGAGCGTGGAATTATGCTACTACCAGAAAGATGGCAAAAGGTGTTGGACCAGAACGGTCAATATATAATTTAATAAACTATTTGTTTATTATACGAAAACTGTCTTTCATTTCCACAACAAAAAACGAAATGACTTTCCGAACAACTCTATAGTATATAGTGGCGGATCTAGGATTTGCAATTGGGGGGCTGCAGTAAAAACTTGAAATGTAGCCTTTCGTCTCATATATAAGTATACTTTCTATAGGTATATACGAGGGGGGCATTAAAATATAAACTTCTGGGGACAAACAACAGAAAACCTGTTGGAGGTAAGCGGAGCATCGAGAAGTATAGGGGGATCCCCTAATTCCCTCTGATTGTGACCATCTATACTTAAATTAAATAATAAATAAGCAATTTCTATTTTTCTGGGAATGTCGAGCAAAAACAACTTTGTCCTCAGTATCCCTTTTCGCGTACTCGTTTTTAGGACTTTATCGAATGTGAATTTTGCTTCTCCAAGTCTAAATTGGCAAATCTTAATTAAAAGTTCCATTAGGATCTGAATTTCTCCTTGAATTTGCTGTAACAAATAGTAGTCGAAGGGATTATCTTAACAGATGCAACTGAACCAATATAGGACTTCGTAATTAAATTCCCAACATAAATCATTGTAATTATGAGCGATTAGTATGATAAAGTAGCATTCGTAACAACAAGGGCGAACTTATAATACTCTTTCCCGGGTTCTAGAGTGAGACGTTTGATATTGCCGGCGTTTCCTGAGCTTTGCAGTTTACTTCTTTAAGTAGGTCGAAATTCACAGTCAGTTTTTTTTCTCTTTCTTATTTTAATGCCCCATGTTCTGATCATAATTCAGCTTTATTTTTTATAATATATTAAATGTACAATAATACTATTGTAGTACTGGAGTTAACTAAAAATATTTTATCATCAAATTAGATTCGTTAGAGATATTTTCTGTATCTGTTTCTAAATATTATTGCACTCCAGGTACTTTTGCTGAACTCTTCAAGTCAAAATATCGTTCCCTTTGGAATATTGTTCATGGGTGTTTGCTTGAAACAGTTTATTCATGGTCCCTCCCTACAGGAGGTGTATTTTGTATTTTAGAGTTGACTTCAACCGAACACCAAACTGTAACCATCATTATCTTTGTATATAGATCGTAGATAAGCAAATAATTAATTTCAATTAGTGTTTTTATATTAATTTCAACACGGCTTCGCAAGTGAACTATCAAGTTTTCCTAAAACCCTGGAAACTTGAAGCACGTACTCAATTTCTACACCCGTGCCTAACACACCCCTACTAATCATTTTAAGGAGTAATTGCTTTCATTTTTAATGTCTAGCAATTAACTTTTTGTTTTCAAAACAGTAATTGATCAAGAGGAAAGAGGAAAGTAGATAGTAAAACTGCTAATATTTAAAATTTAGATGAAAACCGTCAGTAGGTAGTGCTGAGGAAAACTTTTCACAGTGTAAATTGAAAGCAATTTGTTATTCCAATGACCAATTAACGGAAAATTTATTGTCTCGTTAATTAAGTTACGCGTTTTGTTGCACAAATTATGGGACACAATACTTAATGAAGACGCTTGCATTATCATTAGTCTTTTCTTGCAAGGAATCTCATCTATAAATTACCAAAGCTAACGCTATAAATTAGCTGTGTTGTTTACAAGAAAACAAAAGTTGTCTGATTTTCTTCTCCATAAATAATAACAACAGAGTGACTTGGCCTACTTTGTGATGCTGAAACAAAAAATGTTCCCTAAGGAATGATTTTTCGATCATTATTTCTAAATTGTATAGAGAAGGATGGAAAAAGAGGCGGAAGAACTATTACGGGAAGATCAATTTGGGTTTAAAAGAAATAGAGGAACGTAGGAGACCGTTTTACCTTTACGGGTAACAATAGAGTAAACGATAGAAAAAGGAAATAGTGCGTACATAGGACTTGTAAATTTAGAAAAAGCTTTTGACAAATTTTAAAAGAGACAAGATCATAAATATATCTACTTAAAAATGTAGAGTTGAGTTACAAAGATCGCAGAGTGATACTTAGTTTATAATAAGAGCAACAAGCAGTTATAGAGCTGGAGCAGCAACGTAGAGAAGTAAATATTAAGAAGGGAGTCAGACAGGGATAGACACTGTCACTGCTACTTTTTAATCTATACATCGAAGACTGTAGGGATAGATATACAGGGGCAAAAGATTGATATGCTTAGATTTGCAGTTAATATAGTAGTACTAGCATTTAGCAAGGAAGAGTTAGAAGTAGCTTTAAATAAAATAGAAGCGATATTGACAAAACAGTATTCTATGAAAATAAATAAAAGTTAAAAACAAAAATACTGGTATGCAAGGGAAGAATAAGTAACGAAGAAACGAATATAAAATTGGGAGACGAAAGATTAGAAAAAGTAGCTGATTTTAGGTACCTATCTAGGAAGTCAGATAGGTCAGGATGGAAGGAACAGTAGGGATATAAAGCAGAGGATAGCGGAGGGTCGAGTCGTTTTCAATAAAAGGAAGTCACTTTTATGCACGCGAACAGTTAATTTATAAATGCGAAAAAGATTGTTAAATGAGCGTACAGGTTAAATAAACACCAAAATCGGTTCAAATCTTGTAAATGTATATACAATTATATATGACGACCAAATACACAGAGGGTGTTAGAATAATGAATGAGCAATTTGATTGTCAAATAACTCATTGGTTTCTAAACATATTACACATCAAATGCTGATACTCACTTTGAAGTATGTATAATTGATAATTGAATTGAATTGAATATGAATATGATGTCAAGAACAGACCTTAAGTTTGAAGGCAGAAGCCCATACACGTACCTATGTGAATTTTCGTTCAGTAAGGTGAAAATGTTGGACCCAAAAAGTGAATCCACCTACGCAACGGTTAATGGTCGTCAAAAAGCTCGAAGTCAGTCAGCCAACGTTAATCCATCATATGAACAAAACACTTGATAGAAATAAAAGAATCAAACCAAAATAATGTGCGTCAATTGAAATCTGTTTTGTTTTAGTTGATATATATTGGTTGGTATTTTTTGTTTATGTGGACATTAATCAGTCTGGTATTATTTTATACTATTTGATGAGTTATTTGACTTTAAGGTTGCTCAATTATTCATATAGATATCATTTTATTTAAAAAAGTATCGCACCAACGCAATAAAGGTGATTATTATTATTTTCCGGTCTTCTCAGTTTTCACTGGTCAACTTTGAGGAAGTGAAGATGGGCTGATGTCAAAGATCCTGTCGTTTGGAATCGCTGTGGAAACCAATTTACTGTTATTGAATTATGCATGAAGCTATCAATACTTTTTGCTCTGAAATTTTATCGGGGATTATTAATAACTCAGCTTCTAATTTTACCGATTGTGTTATCTTGTAGGTATAACGCATATTATTGAAATTATTAATGGAATAATTCAAACTGTGTTCTGATTTTACATTTACATTATACGTTACATGACATACTAAAGCTTTTATATAATAGTAATTTTTTAAGTATGTGTTCTTAGGGAAATAGTATTAAGCGTATGACAGAACCTGAAGTCTGAAACGGGTCAAGATTAATCAGATTAAATGAGATATTGCCAGAACGTGTACATAAATGATTTTCTCCGAAAGTTTCAGTTCATTCCATTAACTGAAACGGAAATTAAAAGAAAAGTGGTGCGCAATTTTTCTCAGTATTAAGGAATTCAATCAAGGCTTTAAAAATGTAAAAGATCGTTTAAATTGCCACTTTTTTTCTTCCAAGAAAGTCCCATTTATTTTTTATGACTACTACATTTTATTATTCACGACAGAGCTTCACAATCTCTTGTGAATCACTGCCCCCTTTACAAGAGAGTAAAATTCGGTTAATTTTATTTGAAATAGTAAAATATTGTTGCATATTATCTGGGGGTATCTAATATATCTGTTTATTTGTAAAAAAAAAGGCGAGGGGGGCAAATCAGGGTACCTAAGAAAAACATTTCAATTGTTCGGTAAAAAAAAATATTATATTGGCTTTCTAAATACGTCGCACATTTGCATATGGACCCGCTACCGCTTCCCAATGGAAGGATCTAGCGTCAATTAATTAATAATTTTTATTAGCATACGATGTGTAAAACTCACTTTGTTTTTAACGTTTGCGACTTTTGTATCAATTAAAGTTGGTTTTTGTCTGATAAAAAAACGATTTTGTATTATGCCACACATGGTTTTCAGTTAATTAATACATAGTTTATTATTAATGTCTTCATATTATAGCTAACACCCCAATTTGTTTAAGATATATTGCACACTACATATTTTTCTTGATAAAATAATGACGTCATGTAGCGCTCATGAGAAAAGTCCATTTGTTTAAAGAAAGGTACTATTCTATCACTTTAAAATTTAAAATATTTCTTTGTACATTACATTATCATTAAACTTCTTTTTACAACATAGAAAAATATTTTTATCAAATGAATTGTTTCATAAAATTACTAATGACATTATTACGTATGGGCAAAAGCAAAGTGAAGGTATAGTTTGCAGAAATATATGTTTATTTCATACAGACATTTAATCGAGTAAGTTTTCTCTTTTTTTTTTTCGGGCGATTTAGAAAGATCACAAAGAAACGAAAATTAACAAAACTTCTGTACTTTTTTTTGGTATATTTTCTAGCATTTAAGCTTCTATAATTTTAGGTGTAGGTAGTGTATGAGTTATGTGTACTTGGACTAATATCATAGGGACTGCAGGTTTAAATGTTGCTGTTCGTTTGATGTTGGTAACGATAAGCGATGCGGAAAAATTAACGAGGAAACTGCCAAGTTTCATAAATTTTGTGAATGAAACTCCCCGTCAATTCATTAAACTGAGCAATCTGGTTTACTCACGGTTGTCATGGAGCGGGTTATGGTCGGTCAAGATCGTCGACGAAGAGACCGTTAGGGGTGGTTGAGACGCCGGTTTGTGTCCAGAAGATCGCGACATGCACAACGTGAACATATCGTCCGATTAGTTTCTAAATAAAAACACTGGCAGCAAATTCAGCGGCCTCTTTATTCGGCCGATTTCAAAATAAAATGCTGGATTGTTACCTATCTTACTCTAAATGTTTTTTTTATTTGTTTTGACGATGATCGTGTAACAGAACCGACGACAGCGCGCTATCAAATCCGACGCCCGACTGTGACTACTTGCGTCTGCTCCACCACGTTGTTCTGGGAGCAGCGCACCGGCGACGGCATCGAAAGGGGTTGTTCGTTCGTGGATTTGTGTGAAAACGCGACGCAAAAGACAAACGATCGCGACGGCGCCAGTAGTGGACCACGGTTACAATTGCAAATGAAATCCTCCAATTATTGGATTCTTTCAAACGAAATCCACCGATTATCTCAAGCTCTTACCCCCGAAGACTGCATATGGTGTAGTTCTAAAGGGTATTTTCGGTCATCAACCTTATTCAAAATCTATTATNAACATAATTACATAATCAAGAAATTAATTAACAGTTTATAGAGTAAAAAGAAAAATACCTGTAAGAGAAAGAAAACAAATCACATACATAATATATACAACGTATTTTATTAATAACAGTTTCTAAAGTGAACACAATTACAAAAATAGAAAAATAATTAACAGTTTATAGAGTAAAAAGAAAAATACCTGTAAGAGAAAGAAAACAAACCACATATGTTCACATATGTAATAAAAAGTCTTATATTACTTACAAACTGTTATATTACCATTTAAACGCAAGATTAAGGAGAAAAAAGTCCCCCTAACCCTCTGTGGCCTCCACATCTCCCCTTATAGCCACCCTATCCACCCAAATTAATTTTAATTGTGACAGCGTTAACAAATATTTAATTTAACTTTAACATTTATGGCAAAAGATCAATTTAGAAACATTTCAACAATCATTCTAAGTTACAATTACATAATATAACAGTTCATAAAGTAATAAGCAAAATACCTGTAAGAGAAAGACAAGAAAACACATGAAATTTCAAAGAAAATACAATAAAAAGCAAACAATACGATATCTTCAGTCTTCTTCGGTTACCTGAAAGCGAATAGTGCAATTACAAGGACTAACGACAAATACTAATAGCTTTGGTAGAGAAGNAATGAATTGTTTCATAAAATTACTAATGACATTATTACGTATGGGCAAAAGCAAAGTGAAGGTATAGTTTGCAGAAATATATGTTTATTTCATACAGACATTTAATCGAGTAAGTTTTCTCTTTTTTTTTTTCGGGCGATTTAGAAAGATCACAAAGAAACGAAAATTAACAAAACTTCTGTACTTTTTTTTGGTATATTTTCTAGCATTTAAGCTTCTATAATTTTAGGTGTAGGTAGTGTATGAGTTATGTGTACTTGGACTAATATCATAGGGACTGCAGGTTTAAATGTTGCTGTTCGTTTGATGTTGGTAACGATAAGCGATGCGGAAAAATTAACGAGGAAACTGCCAAGTTTCATAAATTTTGTGAATGAAACTCCCCGTCAATTCATTAAACTGAGCAATCTGGTTTACTCACGGTTGTCATGGAGCGGGTTATGGTCGGTCAAGATCGTCGACGAAGAGACCGTTAGGGGTGGTTGAGACGCCGGTTTGTGTCCAGAAGATCGCGACATGCACAACGTGAACATATCGTCCGATTAGTTTCTAAATAAAAACACTGGCAGCAAATTCAGCGGCCTCTTTATTCGGCCGATTTCAAAATAAAATGCTGGATTGTTACCTATCTTACTCTAAATGTTTTTTTTATTTGTTTTGACGATGATCGTGTAACAGAACCGACGACAGCGCGCTATCAAATCCGACGCCCGACTGTGACTACTTGCGTCTGCTCCACCACGTTGTTCTGGGAGCAGCGCACCGGCGACGGCATCGAAAGGGGTTGTTCGTTCGTGGATTTGTGTGAAAACGCGACGCAAAAGACAAACGATCGCGACGGCGCCAGTAGTGGACCACGGTTACAATTGCAAATGAAATCCTCCAATTATTGGATTCTTTCAAACGAAATCCACCGATTATCTCAAGCTCTTACCCCCGAAGACTGCATATGGTGTAGTTCTAAAGGGTATTTTCGGTCATCAACCTTATTCAAAATCTATTATTCATCTCTAGAAACAAGACGGTGCATCGTTAACCCTATATATATCTAAACATATAAGTAAAAATGTAGTGTCCATCTACAATATTGAAATAAGTGCCCTTACTGCATACTGTTAAAATACGAGCAACAGAATTTTTTGGCAAAATTAATGAATTTATGCACTTTTATGTCTTTTGATTTACTGAACTTTCTAAGAGAAGTTTACATATTCCGCAATCTATGAGCGGAGCAGATTAAAGAAAAAAGTGAGGATTAATATGGAAATCGAAAAAAAAAGGATTTTATGCGTCATCATCATCATAAGGCCGTCAGTCCGAAAACTGATTTGAAACGCACTTCCACTCTTTTCTATCCTAATCTTCGCATTTTTCTAAAAATTAGAACTTTCCAGATCCTTAACTATTTGTGAACAGTAATCTAATCTAGGTCTCCTCTTAATAGGTTCCAATATGACATACCTGAGAAGATGTCCTATTTCTTATTGACTTTCATAGTGCCCTCCGTTCTCTTACTCTTCCTAATATATCCTTAATTCTTTCTTACCTTTTCTATCCATGGTATCCTCATAATTCTCCTTTAACAACCACGTTTTTCGAACGCTTTTAAACTTTACTTTTCCGCTACGCCCACTGTTCACGTTTCGCATCCCTACAGAGCCGTGCTCCAGACATACACCTTTACCAATCTTTTTCAGATGACTATACTCTGTGCTTCTGTCTTCTGGTTGACATCTACTGCTCCTTCCATCCTGAATTATCTGACTTCCCAGATACCGAAAATAAACCATTTGTTCTGATTTTTCGTATAATTTTTATGTAATGAAAAGTAAAATTAATACTAAATCGGTTTTAAATCAGGTAATAAATGCACACAATTTTTGACACTTTAGGTTCGGTGTACACTATGAACCGCTCTCGATACGTTCTCGGTTCGCTTTCGATCGAAAACATCCGAGAGCGTATAGAGATCGGTTCTATTGTGGGAATCAGGCCTTAAAGTTTCAAACAATCACGAACATAAAATTGTTACAGTTGGAACAATTTATAGTTGTTCGAATAAGTGCAGATCTGCCCGATGCAACACCTTTTTTTTTACTTTTTGAGAGATACATATTTATAAGTCTCATATTTTTACTACTAAAATATTTTCTTTGCAAACTCTGTCGTCTTTATGAGATACATCTTTTGAAAGTTCTGTTCAAATTTTCTTATTTTTAATTTTTTTAACTGAACATACTTATATTCGGAATTCACTACCGTGACATTAACCTAGTAGTTATATCATCTCATTTAAAACTTGAACGAGTGCCATTCCTTAATCTCGTTCTTCTTTCGCATTACGACGTCCCATTAGATGAATCGTTTTAGATTTCCTTCGGTTCTTTTCTAAATAAATTCTCTTTTCCTGGTAAGTACTTTCGTTTTGAGTATGAATCTGCATTAAAATGCAATATTTTATTTAGGAGTCATATAATAAACTAAATACTATAGTTTTTCATAAGTAGGACATTTTTATTCGTACATTTTACTTATATATTAAAGTGATATTTACAATTTATTTCACTATCCCGTTGCTTCGTAAGCGAAAATTATACAAATTACAATTTGGACCCGAATTTGTAAAAATAAAATCCCAGCAGAAACAAATTTACTAGGTACTTTAGTTGATATTAAGTACAAATTTAATTGTAATAATTAAGAAACTTGAAATAATTAAAAAANTACACTATTAATTAAGGAAGGAACTAAACACTCCTAAAAATAAACTACAAAAAGCAAGTAAAGTAGCTGAATTATAATAAAATGACTACAACTGTCATTTCACACCATGACCATAGATCCTGCATGACATAAATAAAGACAATCGTAGATGTACGATGTCAATTTATGATGTGCACAATAGATATTTAAAGAAATGAAATACCGTAGATACACGTAAAGGTAACTGAAATTGTGAACAAAAGATAATTGGTAAGACAGATAACCCATAAGTTCAATATTGAGCAACTAATAATTATAAATGGCATGCATTCTCACCTTAATTAACTGCAGAAAGTAGCTTTTTAAGGTCGAATGAACAAGCAAAATCCAGGAGGAATACCACTCCAGACAACTTGTTGTTTCAGTCGTTTCCAAATTAATTTCCGGATGCCTCCCCCTCAAAGGTTCAAAATTATGTTGAAAGAGTATGACATCATAAGCTTTAGCTCTTTCAGTACCATCGAAACTAGCTGTAATTCCTTCTCATTTGGACAATCTATAGAAACGGACAAGAAAACGTGGTTAATTACAACTTTTAAAGCAAGTAAATGTGGTGTTAAAGTTAGAAGCTAACTTTCGCACTGACAGAAAGGCCAGTTCCACATTTTGCTTCTGCCACTTCTAAAATGTTGTTTAAAAGTTGTCTGATGAAAGTAAGTTACAAATGCCTCAGAAATTGAAGTTTCTGGGACCTAGATTAATATTTTTAATTGATATAGTTTACTCACCAGTTCATTCGTTATAAATCCTTCCTTCAGCAATGCCACACTGTATCCACTTTTGTGCTTCTTTTTAGGACAGCTACTTTCTGGATCGAATGAAAACTGACACAACCAAGGCACTGTAAATTAATGCCATCCAGGGTTTTTTAATGTTCCTGTGAAATGAAATCTTATGAATATTCAGATATAATTAATTTAGCCTCTTTAGTAAATAACGTGCATGACACAATACTAAAGTTAATATCAAATAAATAACTAATTATGACATGTAAGCTCACTGTAGTTAGTAAGAGGATCCTCCATAATGTAACGAACACCATGGCTGACAAATTGCTTGTTGAGTTGCATCAAAATGACCACCCTTCCTTTTCATTCTTATTTATCATCAATCTGTAAAAATAGAGAAGAAAAACGAATAAACTAAATTATTAAACAATTATAAACATAAAATACAACGAAAATAGCCACCGAAAAGCGAACAAAATTGCAAAATTTTAAAAATGGTGACGTAACGTCGTTTTTAATACAAGATAGGCAAGATATTATCTATGGGCAAGATCAAGGATCGGACATTGAAGTGGAGGGGAACACTCTGTAGTCTAGTTCAATGGGATCGGAACAATATCGAGATCTATAAAATTCATAGATTCATAAACAATTGACAATTTATAATGTTGATATACAGGTAATGTGAAGGAATAACCAAATCACCAGGTCAACATTAACCGTTTTACGTTTAAATTAAACATCAACATTGTTGTAATTTAAAACTTAAAATAAAAATTCTTTACGTCTATTTTTAATGTAAGAAGTCTTCCTCACTTTTATTCAATTTTTGATCGATTTTCTCTTTGAATTTTTGTTCTCTATAAATTGTCATGATAGAATCAACAATTGTAGTTACGCTATAAACGCCAATTGGGTCTTTTCAAGTAAAATGTACAGAAACTGAAGTCTCAATACATAAAATTCTACAAACTAGTGGATGGTTCGATATTCTATTACAAAAAGAATATTATGTTACGTATGCCACTCCACGCACAATGTTTTAGTTAGTTTTCTCTTGCGAAAATTGGCAACAAAATTATAACATGCTATTTATATTAGTTGTACTATATTTTCTCACCTTGATTAGTTGCAAAATGTAACGTTTCAAAGTTCACATGTGCGAAAGGCAAATCAATCTGTAGAAAGGAATAAGAAAAAAAATTAACTACAGTAATACATAATAAAAAAAATAAATAAAATATAAGCATTCACTGAAAATCCACCATAACTCCAAATCAAACGCCAAAATATACTATGCCATCCTGTGATATATATACATACATCATGATGCTATTGCATGTCTGACTGTACACGAGACACTTCCTAATAGATAAAGAAAATGTTATAATTAACCTAACTAATCGAAATTTTGGCGGATTTTTTTATGTTGTTTTTTAATGTCTTTCATTCGGTTTGATTAAAAAGCGAGTGGGTATCATAAGTAGTTCTATGTATTTTATAATATAGGATTTATCGCTAATNCGTAAATAAGCCATTATTTCTCGTAAAAAGTAAAGGATAAAAAATGGTTATTATGGGTTATCTCTAAGAGATAGACATATACCATCACGGACATTTTTGTAGACCTTTTTAAACTGTACAATACTGTCGTATATTATTTTGATCTATCTCGTAGGGTTCAGCCAGCGTTTGTAATGTAAGTGCAAAAAATATGTTTATTTTCGACATCACATCAGAAACCTCTAAAATTATCAGTGTTTTTCTACTACATTATGCATGTATTATACACATAAACCTTCTTCTTGAATTACTTTATCTATTTAAAAAAACCGCATTAAAATCGGTTGCGTAGTTTTAAAGATCTAAGCATACATAGGGACAGACAGCGTGGGAAATGCGTTGCATGATTTCGTTACATAGCAACTCTCATGAAACGAACTTACCCTACCGTGCGTAAAGAAGTTTCACTTCAAAAACATGTCGAAATTGAGATTTTTACAAGTTATCTAATAAATTCTACTATTTTTACGGATAATTCGGATAGCTAGGATCCCCTTATAGATTTTGACGATCAGTATGACGGACATAGAGCTAGACAAATTTGAAATTCGAGAATTTTCCTGACTTTATAACATAAGATCTTCCACTAGTTCAAGTTTGATAGTCCTTGTTCAACAAAGTTTTGATGATCAGTGGAACTTTTGACGGATTTCAAATCCTCGATTTTCAGATTTTTTTACTGAATTTATACCATGAGACCTTCCTCTGCTCAAAATTTAATAGCTCAACTAATAGAATCAGTAATACTTTAGGAGGACAAGCAGACAGACAAACAGGCCGACATACAATGTGAGCCCTGCAAGGGTTCTGCTATTTTTTTGATTAGAAGTACAGAATTTTAACGAAGCAATTAATAAGGAACATAAATGTAATAATAATGTTTCTTTATTTAAATAATGAATGCCCCGTAAATTGTTAACTTTTTAACTGCACGGGGATCCAAAAAAGCTATTTTAAATTTAATATAAGTCTCCGAAAGGCTATCGGTTAATTGATACTCATAATTAGTTTCATGTTCGCCACATCCACAAATTAAGGAATTCATAGGTACTTATTTACTCTAACAGCAGTTTATGCATAGTAGCAACGACTATACTTTTTTGAAGTGAAAATTCGTTTCATGCGAGTTACTGTGTAACGGAATCATGCAACGGATGTCCCCCCTCTACTTGGCCACGTAGTCAAATTCGTAGTGGGGATCGCTTGAGCCGTAAGCGCGCTTCAATGCAACGTTCGTTACATGCAATTGCGGCATGTATAGTGTAAAATTTAAATTCATAGTGCACAAATAATACCATTAAACCAATTCCTTAACCCCTATCCCGGTATGTTTGTGTGTTTTAAAAAGTTTCACTTCAGTAGCGTGTTGTATAATTACACGTTGTATTAATTTTAAAGTTTATATAACCTACACACTCTTTGCATTTCTAAAGTTTAAGTTTTAAGAAATGAAACGTAAAATTCTAATATACCTACCTATGACAGCAACACAACCACTTTCACAAGAAACAAATATAAAAACTCCTTCTTGGGAGGTAATGGCGTCGAAAAGACTACCTAATAAGGATTCTGTCTACACCAATTTTCAATTTTCTGGTACTGTTGAAGGCCACATAAAGTTGATAGCACACTCTGTATATTACTATTATAAATACACATTTCTACAGTTTTATGAATAATAACATAATCACGTTTCTCGACAAACATCATAAAATTTTTATATTGTAGTTGAAATTCATTGAAACGCAAAATTTAACTTTTTATTACTTACTCTATATTTTTAGCAAGAATGTGGGTAAACGTTCTCAGAACATTTTTCTTACGTTTTATTAAGACGCGAAAAAGTTTGGGTACTTATTCAGTTTTACTGGAGTTGTTTGAAAAAGCATCCTTACTGAGCGATATGGAAGCTACCAAGTGTAACAAACTGCGTAAGTTATAAGTGTCATTTCTTTTCCTGAAAGATTCAAAGATAACAGGGAAAATAAAGATTTATAGTTGATCGTAAACAAACCGTTTGACAAATAACTTAAAACATACAATACATATTTTTATTCTTATTATTGAAACAAAAACAGGTGGTTTCATCTACATTATTGCCCAAAGTCAGTGGAGTGACTACTTGTGACAATATTTATTCTTTTAATTGGAAAAATTATTTTAAATGTAAAATGCAGAGAGAATGTTATCTGAGTTAATTATTTTTACAGATTGATGATAAACAAGGATGAAAAAGCAAGTTATCTGCTATGGTTCGTTTCATTTTAGAGGATCTTCTAATTAATTACGGTGAGCATACATGGCATAATTAGTATATTTATTTGATATTAACTTTAGTATTGTGTCATGCACGTTATTTACCAAGGAGGCTAATTAATTATATCTGAATACTTATAAGATTTCATTTCACAGGAACATTAANTTCAACTTCGTCATGAAAAATTGACATGTTTAAAATGATGCAAGTTCATATTTATATTTTCTAAAAACGGGGCGAAAACCCACAAAAACTCTGTTTATGTATTTTATAATATAGGATTTATCGCTAATAATTGTTAACTGTTTTAAAATGATGCGTGGTTAGTTATTTTATTAAAATCTTTCTATGTTTAACAATTAATTTTTAGGAGATACTAGTAATACTACTGCAGATAATTTTTTTGATACTCCTAATCACTTCGATTCCCCTGCTCAAGGCAAAAATGGGAAATCATTGGTAAATAGTTTCATTTTAGGAAAAAATTTTTTTTAATAAGTAGTTTATAGGGAGCTCGTAGACTTCAAAATACCGTTCCTGTATGTATACGACAGATTTTGGATCAGCCAGGCGAAGAGTTTAAACTTTTCGGAATGTCTGCACAAATTGTAAAAAAGAATTACTAATTATTTCTATTATAAATGTAAATTCTTTTTTTAGCTTTGTGTAGTAGGTATATTGAAAGAATTTGAAGTGCAAGCCACTAAAGCAACCTATGAAATTGAAGATCATACAGGAAATATTTCTGCAATTTGGTGGTTAGAAAATGATGCAGTAAGTTTAGAATTAGTTTTAAGTTGTTATATTTTTATCATACGATTTTTTAGAATTCTACACCAAATTTACCAGCAGTTAAAGAAGGGTGTTACGTAAAAGTTTTTGGCTCCTTAAAAAATCGAGATGGTATGAAAAGCTTGATGGTTCTTCGTATGTTTCCTTTGGATACCATCAATGAAATAACAACTCATCTCTTAGAAGTTATAGGTGCACGTTTAGAAGCAGAAGTTGGTGGAAAAGCAAATGTAAGAACCAACTTAGTGGTATGGCTGCAACTTTTTTTTTTTAAATTTTCAATTGTAGACCTTGGCAAGAATAAATGCCAATAATCCAGGTGCAGAATTAGCAAATTCAATGGCTTTTATAAATGATGTTGATATGCTTCCAAAGGCAGTTGGATTGACAGCACTACAAACTAAAATATTTAATATTATAATACCAGTTACAGCAGCTCAGGGAATTTCTCGTGATGCAGTTCTAATGAAATTTCCTCCTAATCAACACAGGGATGTTAAGTAAGCTTATAGTCATCAATTATTTAGTTATATCATTCAAAATATGATTTATACTTTCAGTGATGCTTTGGACTTTCTCGTAAATGAGGGACATGCTTACTCTACTGTTGATAATGATCATTTCAAAATTACAGATCCATTTATTTGATATTAACTTTAGTATTGTGTCATGCACGTTATTTACTAAAGAGGCTAAATTAATTATATCTGAATACTCATAAGATTTCATTTCACAGGAACGTTAAAAAAAACCTGGATAGCATTCATTTACAGTGCCTTGGTTGTGTCAGTGTTCATTCGGTTCAGAAAGTAGCTGTCCTAACAAGAAGCACAAAAGTGCCTTTTTTCGATTGGGAACGGATGCAGTGTGGCATTGCTGAAGGAAAGATTTATGACGAACGAACTGGTAAGTAAACCATATCCATTAAAAATATTAATCCTGGCCCCAGAAACTTCANATTATTTAGTTATATCATTCAAAATATGATTTATACTTTCAGTGATGCTTTGGACTTTCTCGTAAATGAGGGACATGCTTACTCTACTGTTGATAATGATCATTTCAAAATTACAGATCCCATGTAGGAAGATAACTAATTTTTGTTGTGTTAAAGATAGACCGAATTGAGATTTAAGTTTTTACTGGTCTTTACAAAATATATTATTTAATGAATTCAAGTCTATAATTTTACTTTTCAACGGTTTAGGTGCACATATGAAATTAGTTATAATTACTCAGAATCAATAAATAGGACCTTCATCTAAATTGTCATCCTCATCCTCATAGCCTTCCCCATTATCAAAATAGTTGTTAGCATAATCTGTACCTTCATCCATTTCTTCATCTTCATCCTCCTCTATGATTTCCTCCTTATCGTCTTCATTTTCTTCTTCAGCCTCTTTATTGACTTCATCCAATTTTTCAGAGTTTTCTTCTATCCTTTCAAGTTGATTCAGCCTACAATCATGAATTTAATCAGTATAAAACAAGGTACTTAATGAATTTAGACACCTAATACATATAATATATATAATACATAATATAAACATAGTTGAACTGTTAAAATGAATAATTAAAATACATTTTGAAGTTGATCTTACCAGCAACTGATTAATACTGGCACATACATAAATATTAAATAAATTACGTGTTTTATACTTATGAATAATTGAAAATCAGTTATTATAGGTATTTACCTTGATGTAATGTCAACTTTTTTTTCCACAGTTTTTATTCTCTTCTTTGCAACTAATTTTGGTCTAAGTTCATGTGGATAAAAGTTCCAATTAAACTTTTCCTTGGTATTAGGTATTTGGGCAAGTAATTTATCTATCGCTTGCTCACTTTGCTTTAAATTTGGTTCACTGGGTTTTAAGTATGCTCCTGACATGTTCATTCGATCTATAAATCCTTGCTTCAAAATTAGTAAATAATCTGCTTCAATACACTCCTACAAAAAAGTAAAATTACTATTTACCTCTGATGCAATATTCATATGGCATTTACTGAAAGAGGTATTGGCTTTCTATTAATGGGTGGAAATAAAACAGGAGGTTCAGTTATGGGCACAGGTAAAGATTCTCCTGCAGTAACACCAATCACAGACAATTGTTCTTTAGTTAGAGAAGTTTTACCTCCTCTACCTCTACCTCTACTCATATTGACTACTCTCAAACTTTTAGCTTCTTAATATCTTCAGACACTTTTGTTGTTTCAGCCTCTGTTTGCTCTTGCAAAAAAGCATCCTGAAATAAGGATTGTATTAAAATTATAATATTAAAATAGTTATAATTTATTACAAGATCATAAATAATTTTAATCACTAAAGAACAACTAGGACATGCAGCTACTTCTTCACCTGCAAGTAGTTCCTCCTAAAATTCAAAATAATTTATGAATTAATTCTGTGTTTTTCAAGACATACACCTTTGATATTTGAAATCTGTCACCACAAGGGCATGGATAGTAGTATATCTCGTCTTCTTCGTCGTATTCGAAATCTTCGATTTCAACTTCGTCATGAAAAATTGACATGTTTAAAATGATGCAAGTTCATATTTATATTTTCTAAAAACGGGGCGAAAACCCACAAAAACTCTGTTCAGAAATGTGATATAAATAGGGTTATAGTGATAGAGAAGAGGTTGGAGTTATATTAGGATCATACTAGGATCATAGATAATTTTAGGATGTCAGGATTAGAAACATAGAGTATAGAAGAGCTTATCAACACAATCAGGGTTGCCAGATGCTTTTTTATTTTCTAGATTTCTTGCAGAAATTGTCCTAGATTTCCTTAACCTGACAACTACATTTATTAGTTACTAGGTTTTACCCGCGGCTTTGCTCGCGTTGATGTGCTAAATACGTGTCAAAGATCGATGACCACATAAAACTAATTTTTTTATCTCTGGAGAATAGATTTTTTTTGGTTAAAAGGCCGCATGTTCTTTTCTGTATGGAGTGTAGAGGTAAGGAGAATTATCTCACATGGGGAAAAGTTGAAAAAGTGTCCAGCTAAAAGCAGTAAATAACAGTCCAAAAACACTCCAAAATGGCGCTAGTGTAGGCAAAAGGTATAGTGATGAATGTAGCGGTTGTTGACGGATTGAAGTATGCCAAGTTAGAAAATTTAATATTTTTAGTGACTAGAATAGTTAGTGATAGTTCAGTATACCAACCCTCAACTGTTTACGTAGTTCAAAGTAATTTTGTCCTTGTTTACTTTTCTATCTTATTCTAATAACTTTTGGCCCTTTATTTGAAATTTACTCTGTTGCTAAAATGGCACTTTTTCACAACAGGGATAGTACTCCTTATCTCTACCCTTCATACTTTTCTGTATCCCTGACAATGAATTACCCCACCATTATTACCCTATGATTAATATACTCCATACTTTTGCTTAGTTCATCGGCATAGCTAAACTGACAGTGGATGTCGGCTAAATCCATTTTGCGAGGCCCTTTTCATATCTCCGTTAAGAAAAGTATCAATAATAAATTTAGCTCTACAAAACGTTACAATACTAGAGGTGTTAAGCACTAGTCCAGGGCCTGCACATGTCCCAGGTGTTTCCCTTGAGTTATTCTCTGTCCGTAAAAAAACTTCTCGATCAGTGTGGAACATGTTCGTGCGGAAGTGTGATCACCAATGCGGACTCTGCAGTGGTAGGTAAACAGAACATTTTTCGGGCACAAGATGTTATAAAATTAATAAGAAAATCTATCGTCTACTTTTAATTTTTTAGCTTGTTTCTTAAAATTAATTTATATGTAAATATTAAGGATAACTTAGATTTTGTATATTGGAATTGGGTAAAAAAAGATAAACTCCCCGGCCGGGAATCGAACCCGGGTCTCCCGCGTGACAGGCGGGGATACTAACCACTATACTACCGAGGACTTGATGTTGATGTGACTTACTATTATATACGACAATTTATGTCTTCATTTCTAACCAAATTAAAGTATTCTTCATTTATGGTCTAATTAGCCGATGTTTTAGCATAGTATCTAAAGAAAATACTTCCAAAATTTCAGATTCAAAAATCAAACCCACAGGTCTATTCTCAAATAAATAACGCGTAATTTTCAATGTTTACAAGAAAAGCATCATGGGAATATGGGGCCATTTGTCGAGACTCAATGCAGCTTGCATCATCTTATTAGATCCGTTTCAGGTTGGAAATTAGTTAAAACGGAGCTTTTATTATTTTTTGGGAGTTCCTATTCATAAAAAATAGTACAAAATTACTAAATAACCCGCAATTTTACAATATTATAAGATATACATAACTGGAATGAGGGGTCACTCGAGATTCAGAGTGCATCGTTTACGACACCATAGATTTGCCGCTGCCAATGTTTATTTAAATAATTTTAATTTAATTAATTTAATTTAAATATTTAATTTTCAGGAAAGTTAGATGTATTCTAACAAGTACATACGATTATCCATGACTTTCGGAACATTAAAAACAATTAACAATGTCAATTACCTTTATTACAAAACAAAACAATAAAATGATCACATTTTCACCTTAACTACATATGTCTGTACTTAATTAACACAAGTATTTTTTGCATAGGTAAGCACCTGGCAGTCTAAAGAATAATTAACAATGAGAATAAAAGATACTACTTTCTGTAAACCTAATGATAATTATCTTATTATGGTCATTTTAGGGTACAGCAAAAAGTTTTCTTTGTCAATTATATTAAAAAAAATACATACATATAAACTTTGGCGCTAATATTTATAAATAAACACATTCACAAAAATTTTAAATAATCAGTCGAGTTTTAGATTATGCTGAAACACCTAAAAATGAAAAAAATAATTTAACAATTTCTCAATTTTCCAAAAAAAAGAAAAAACTTGCTCGATAAAAACTATTTCGTTAATAAAGAATTAAAGAAAGAAAGAAAACAGCTCTTACCTTCACAACGTTTCATGCAATCCTCGTTTGTCATGAAATTATTAGCGTTACCGCCACAACCCCCGTAGTTGAATTCTACGCATTTTCTGGCTGCTGCATCATATCGCCAACGGGGTAACAATGCTCTACAAAATCCTTTTACTGGGGGCAATTTGCAGATTTCCTCCGGGTCCTCTTCTGCAATGTACAAGAAATTGTTAAACATTGTAGATAGCAAAGTGCTGTATGAAATAACAATTTTCAATTTTTCCTCATCTTTTCTTTAACTTAATAGATTATTATTGTATATAAAGGGTGTTCAGAAATTACTGAAGAATCCAAAAAGGTAAATGAATCTCATCTTAAAGTTTTACCGTAACTCTGTACTCAAAGGAGTTACCGTAGATCGTATTATCGATTAATGAACAATAATTTTGAAATTTCTTTCTTTTGTTTGTCAAATAATTTGTAATTAAATAGTCATGGTGACATTTCGGAAGATTTTTGAGATTCTTTACGTCTTTATCTTTAACCAATATTATAAATGCAAATGTCAGTTTGTTTGTAACGATTTCACGCCTTAACTGCTCAACCGATTATCATGAAATTTTGTTTACATATTGTCAGGGGTAATTAATAGAATATAACACATTAAACTTTCTCTTGAGAAGTCTATCATTAAATAATCTTTTTACATACGGTACACATTATGCATTTACGTTAAGGTCTTTTATTATAAACCTAATGTAACAATGTACAAAAATGGATAATTTTCAAATTTTAATTCTACTGACAAGATGATAAATTGAAAATGAGAAACAATATTTACAGTTATTAAAAAAAGTAATGTATTGTTCGATTATTATTACGTAAAAATGTATTTCTGTTTATTCTCAATGCTATCATTAGCTTGTAAAATTTACACTTGATTTAATCTCCTTGATTTCAACTTAATTTATAAAACTCCACACGTGTAGTATGATTTTATATTCAAACCCTTCATGTTAGTGTTGTTGTTCTACTATACATTTAAGAAACAACAATACCTGTATTAAGAACCCATACAATAATTTTTACTTCCGTAGTTCTTCAAGTTAATAGTCCTTACAACATCCTTTTTCAGTTCAGAAGGTAATAATATGGTACCAACATTTTCCAAAAAGTGTACATAAGCAATAAAAAACTTTTTAATGAATTAATTATGTATGTATGTATGTTAAATTTTCATAAAATGTTTAATGTTTCTCGAGAATATTAGTGTTAAAAATGCACATGTACTATACGACGTGTTAAATAAGCTCGAATAATTTCATTTTGAATTGTCTTGCAATTAATCTTGTACATTCCTAATGTACTTCATATTAGAAATAATTTAACGATAAATACTCGAGTAAAACTTTCAATAGGTACATCAACTAGGTATAAGGAAATTTTATTGTTAAATTTGAGTTGTTGTGTAATGATTTTACTTCAGTAGAGTATTAAATAGTAACAAAAAATTATCGTTTGTTAAATTGATTGCTTGGATAGCACCACATCCCTATGACTATTGACAAACTTCAATCTTTTTTTCACTGTTATAAAATTAATAAGAAAATCTATCGTCTACTTTTAATTNTGACAATGTGTCTACAAAATTTCATAATGATCGATTGAATAGTTAAGGCGTGAAATCGACCACTTTTGAAAATGTGTCCACAAAATTTCATGATGATTGATAGAGTAGTTAAGGCGTGAAATTACCACATTGAACTAATTTTTCTAACCTACGAGATCAGTATTCTTTTTGTGAATAAAAGGTACCCTATGTACTTTTGTACACCCCTGCCAATGTGTTCACAAAATTTCATGATGTTCGATTGAATAGTTAAACCGTGAAATCGATCATATAGAACTAATTTTTCTAACTCACGCGAACTGTACAGTATTTTTTTGTTGTGGATAAAACGTACCCTATGTATTTTTCTATACCCCTGACAATGTGTCCACAAAATTTCATGATGATTGAGAGAGTAGTTAAGGCGTGAAATTGACCACATTGAATTAATTTTTCTAACCTACGGGATCAGTATTCTTTTTGTGGATAAAAGGTACCCTATGTACTTTTGCACACCCCTGCTAATGTGTCCGAAAAATTTCATGATGTTCGATTGAATAGTTAAGCCGTGAAATCGATCATATTGAACTAATTTTTCTAACCCTCGGGAGCAGTATTTTTTTTGTGGATAAAAGGTACCTTATTACTTTTTCTGTACCCCTGACTATGTGTCTACAAAATAACAAACAAATAAACTCACATTCGCATTTATAATACTAGTTACAATTATCAGATTATCACTAAATATAGATACTTAAGCCAATTTAGGGAGGCCGAACTTGTAATGTCTATTTTATTATCCTTTTCGAAATTTTTAATATAAAATAGCCAATCGCCTAATTTTTTTCATTTGTTTTCTGATTCAATGCGTCTATTAGACAATGATCTAATTTTCTTTAATTAGTTTTACTATGCTTCCTAACTCTAAATTGCTTTCTCGTAATTGTACGGAATGACAAAGCGTGACAATTTGTTGGAAAGTACACATATTAGTCTTCATAATTCACGATTTTCAATTTCTGTATTTAACTAATCGTTAACAAGATCTTTTTTTTTGTGGGACGACGTCCTTGAAAGATCTATACGCATTACATGTATTTTTTGAGTAACTACACATTCTGGTTTCATTTTAATTTGTTTAAACAGTGTTATAACTACAGACGTAACCGTTAGAATTGTTCAACGGTTTTTTCATGCCATCACTCTTAAAACGACATTCATACATTCTGCTGTGTAACGGATTTATAAAGTAAATTGTGGAAAATACGCAATTTTTCATAACACAGTAAAATATGATATAAAAAGTTCATAATTTGTATATATGTATATTTCATTAACAAAATTAGCTGTTGTGTTGTTAAGTAATTATGAAATGGATATTCATTTTTGAGTAATTACAGAGAGTTACAGCACTTATTATAATCTTTCAAAAAACTAGTTTGGAATTTCCATTAAACGTCCTTATTACCACATTCATCATAAGGTGGTCAGTTCTAAGACTGGTTGGACACGCACCTTCACTCTTGCCTATCCTGAGCTATTCTTCGCATTTCCCTAAAACTAGAACAAACCACTATTTGTGAACAGTAATCTGATATAGGTTTACCTCCACTCCTCTTAACTCCTATTTCTACCTCTAATATGTCTCTGACTAGACCTTCATGCCTGAGAAGGTGCCCTACTATCCTATCTCACCTATTTCTTTTTAACTTCCATAGAGTCCTCTGTTCTCTTACTCTTTTTAATACCACTTCATTTTAACCTTCTCTATCCTCAGTATCCTCATTATTCGCCTGTAACACCACATTTCGAACGCTTCTAACCTTTTCTTTTCCGCCGCGTCCGCTGTCCATGTTTCGCACCCGTACAGCGCCGTGCTCCAAACATACACCTTTAACCACCTTTTTCGAATTTCTAAATTAACGGTTCGCGAGCATAGAAGTGGCTTCTTTTTACTGAAGGCGACTCGACCCTGCGCTATCCTCTCCTTCTGCTACTCCTTCCGTCTTAACTTATCTGACTTCCTAGATACCTAAAATCGACCACTTCTTCTAATTTTTCGTCTTCTATCTTTATATTTGCTCTTTCCCTACTTTTCCTTCCCTTGCATACCAGTATTTTTGTTTTACTTTTGTTTTCATACGTACTGTTTTGTCAATACCGCTTCCATTTTATTTAAAGCTATCTCTAATTCGTCCTTGCTAGATGCTAATATTGCTGTATCATCTGCTTGAAATTAAATTTTATGAACCCTTCAGATATGACGCCAGCTACAACATTTATAGGTGTGGCGCGTCCTCTATTTTCGTCGGAAATTTTAATAATCATATTCTATTGAAGTACAAAAAAACTCGAAGGCGTGAAATTACCACATTGAACTAATTTTTCTAACCTACGAGATCAGTATTCTTTTTGTGAATAAAAGGTACCCTATGTACTTTTGTACACCAATTAATTTAATTTAAATATTTAATTTTCAGGAAAGTTAGATGTATTCTAACAAGTACATACGATTATCCATGACTTTCGGAACATTAAAAACAATNACAGTAGGACCTTAATAACTTAAACCTCGATAACATAATAACCTCTATAAATTCATAAAATTTTGTGTTCCCTTCCCATCGGAGTCCAAAACCTCTATTACTTAAAATAAAAACCCACTATAACTTATACGAATAATTTGGGCATCGCACCTCAGTAAGCAGTGAAAAGTGGTTTGAATCGGGAGAAAGTTTTCTATGTAAAAGACCAAGAATTGCTGAATTTCCTAATTTAGAAAAATGCTTGTTTACATGGTTTAAACAGTGTAGAAATATGTAAAAACATTAGTGTTAGTGGACCTCTACTAAAAGAAAACGCTGAAGAGTTTGCCAAGTCACTGGAAATCCATAATTTTAAAGCTTAAACTTAAACCCTTAGTAAGTAAAAACCTCAATAACTCAAATTATTTTACGTTTCCCTTGGTCTTTATATTATCGACGTTCTACTGTATACCGCGAACTGAGTATTTATTTAGGCCAATATTCGAATTTGGCAAATGGATCTAACACTTAAATTACACCTTTATGTAAAATTTTAGTTATCTATAGGTTTAAGAGTTTAGTCTATGCATCAGTCAGTGAATATTTATGAATTTTGACAATTAAAGAAAGTTAAATAACGTGTTAACGTTTTCTTGTACATATTATATTCAAAGCAAAAATAATAAAGAAAGTAATGGAATAAAAAATTATTACTTAACTGTTTGCTTTACATGTTTACAAAAACTTAAATGGAATGGGAAATTCAAATATCGTATTCGTTTACGTACGTAGATATAACATAATGGTAATATGCAACTTATACAAAGAAAGTGAAAGAAAGGTCAGTTATTATACGCACATTAGTATCTCAAAACGACGGGTACACAATAAAGACTAATATATTAAGAATGTCTTATTCAAATAGGCGTTACATTGTTGATATGCCAAGATTATTTGCACTTTCACATTGCGTAAGTTTTTGTTATTGTTCGAAAGTCTCCAAGAGAATACAAATTGCCATAAAAGAAAGTTCTAGTCTTAAATAAGAAATCATCGTAATATAATTAATTACCTATATTGTACACAACAGGTTATATAAATGTATACACATATCCTTTAAATAATAGCCAGAAATCAAGCTTTAGGATAATGATAATATTATCTTAACTTGGAAACTGTAAAAAGCATTAGTTGATACTTTTGTCACTTTTAAAATCTATATTGTAGAAAAATACATATATTTGAATAAATTCTTCAACATTTACATTGCTCATTTGAAATACCTTTTACTAGAGATATAAGCTCTATATACAATTTTGAGTTTTTCTAATCGGT